TTACACAAGTATCCCTCTTGCTATCTCCGCTGCCCCCACCCCCAGCTCTCCCAGCCTCCGCTCCATTTCCTTCCCTACACTGGAAAGTTCAGGAGGCAAACCCAGAGCCCACGGATTTCCTTATTTTTGAAATCAAGATCAAGCTCACGGTGGGGCTTCAGCAGCAGGAGGTCACGTGGTGACCTTCAGGCGCTAGGAACAGCCACCCTCAAGAATTGAGATGACCAAGTGATCTACAGAACTTGGAGAGCCACAGAAGTGGCTACCACACTTTACACGCATCACTCTTAACAATGACAACAGCAGCAACAACGTGTGTACTGTTCACTTATGCTGTCAGTAACAGGACTCAGAGAAAGGGGTTCTTAACGCACAACCATTGTAAGAGGTTCTAACTTTTAAAATCAAACCTAGCACAACTCTTTGTTCTATGTCCCCTCCCTTCTGGGTCACTGATAACCTCAAACTCTCAACTCTCCTTCAACACCCTTCCACAGCAAAGATGCAGTCTGAGCACAAGTAGGTATTAGCTTTTACACTGACACATAGCATCTGTTCTAATCTTTCCAGCCAGCCACGTGCATTTCATGAAAGAAGAGAATTCTTTAATTTCTATCTTCCTGCCTTGAAAAAAAACAGGTCCACCTCCTAAATAATTAATTTCAAGTCTGCATCTAGTGCCAATACTTGTTGCATCCATTTTAGAGTTTGATTAATTACCCTGGAACTTGGGCAAACTAAACTCCATGTGGAGAGAATGTTTCTTCCTTCAATTTGGTCCTGAAAGCTACAAGTTATTGATGGATCTTCCTCTACTTACATACAAATTGGTGCAAACATGCCCAACTCTTAAAATGCATTTGGTATAAATATATAAAAGTATCATTTTTGATTTAGCTTAAAGAGGTTGATCATTTATTACAAAAATAAACGAATAAATACAACAATATATTGTTGTTTCCAACAGGATAAATACTTTACAAATATATAATTTAAAAAACAAATTTAATTGTTAAAATTATTTAAAATATTACACTTATCGATAAAACTATCAATAGTATATACTGCATTTATTAGAACCAGTTATTCTCTGAATGTTGAAAAACCATTCATACAAAACAGATTATGAGCATGATAATGAGCAAACACTGGACACTACAGGGAAGCAGAGGGAATCTTCAAGATCAATAATAAACAATTCTATTTGGAAACAAAGAAGTACTCCTTGGCTAAGTACTGGGAGGGGGAAAAAAAAAAAGGCAGAGCAATAACAGCAAAGTGATGGTTTTAAATACACCTTGAATGATTTATAGCACAAACTTGCCAGCAGAGGATGGTTGGGTGAATGAGGCGACTGAGGCTTGGACAACAGGACTAGAGTTACAGGAGAATGTAAACTATAAATGGGCCTAGTTTGGGATTGCCAGACTGATGGAACAGAACTTTGTCACTTTCCTTTGGGTTGGAAGGGGGGGTGGGGCAGACTGAAATGGAGGAAACAAATGGACACTTTACGAAGCACAAGACACTTGTGCTGCAAAAGAACACAATGACCAAATTCATTAAAAGATCTGGTGATATATAACAATATTTTCATTATTTACATGTGTTAACAATATAAGCCTTAGCACAAAACCTCTCAGTTGTATCTGCCCTCTTTTTGTTTTCCAACCATGAATATCATTTCGTAAATACATTGAAAGGGTTGATTAAAAAAAAAAAAAAAAACTGGAGTGCAAGTATTAGCTCACTTTATAAAATGCAAAATACTGAAACAAAATGGATCTGCTTTCCCAGCTTCTCCAAAGTTACTCTGCTATCCCCAAATCAGGGCTTCTTCCAAAATAATCAGCAAAGGTTGCTTTTTAATAGAAAACAGTGTGAAATCTAATGTAAGCTCTTTTGTTGTCAGCCTAATCAAGTAAGCAAATACCTCCCCAACTTTGAAATAGACCCATTCCTTCTTTAATGAACCACCACCATTCCGGTAGGAAAAACAGGATTCCATCTCTTGTGCAAGTCATATACACCAAATAAAAGCCTCCCCGCCCAATCCTCAGCTGTCCAGTCAGGCCGCCTTTGCTTGTCCCTGTAGACCCTCCAAAACTGAACTTCGCTCCCTGCCCCCACTCCAGGTTATAAATCAACTGGCCAGAGCGATTACAATGGCAAGAGAAACAGGACACAAGGATGCAAAGAAAATTGTGGTTTCTTGTCTTCATGTTTTCCCTTCTCTCTGTTCAATAAATATGGCCTTTTTCAGATTTCACAAATCAAAATGATAGTGATTTTTAGTACGATTTGGTGTTTAAAATAATGCACCCAATACACGGCCATCTGGCTGGGCTTGATTTATGGAAGTGACATAGGGCCTGTCTAGAAGAAATAGCTGTCCCCTGTTTCTCTCAATTTTCCAGGTTTTTAAACCCCTGTCAGGATATCATAGGGAGAGGGGGTGAAGATGAAGAAGGAAGCAAAAAGTGAGGGACAGTAAGTGAGATTAGGGAAAACAGTCTATGGACTCAATGCTTTATCATCTTTAAGTACTTTTTTTTTTTTTCTTTAAGTACAATATTGATGGACTCAACTAGGCAGAATCTTTTGGGTCTTTAGCACTCACAACCCTAGGCATTACACTTTCATTTTCCCACGTTGTAAATATTGATAACTTGATCCATGTGACCACTCTGGAGGGTGTATCTAAAGAGTGATCTAAACAGCTAACACCCCCAGCCCCAGTAAAGAAGTGATCTAATCATTACTGGGGAGAGCTGTATCACAGAAATGTGGAAACTTAAGTCTGAGCTGGTAATCACACAGAAGGTTGCAGTGTGGACCATAGTCAGGGTCTTAAAGTATTTGCTTTCATTACAGGAAACAAACAAACAAAAAGTTTAATAATTCAAATGTAATCACATAGTTGCTAATGGCAAGTAATTGACCTCAAAATATTTTATAGACTTGAAAGCTATCCTTCACGATTATGTCTTCAGAAAAAAGAATGAGACAGCAATATTATAGGAGCAGGAGAGGCTAAACTTTGGGGGGGGGGTGCAGATCTGTATTGAGCAGGTGGCACATTTTACTGGTGGTATAGTTCAGTCTTCTGAGAAAGAACACAAGTACCTCCAAGAAAAGGGATAGTATTTAGACAATCTCACCTACCCACTAAAAACACCCACTAAAATTAAGGGAGAGAAAAAAAAAGTATGAAATTTACGAATTAACAAGGCGTGACTACTATGTTAAAACACTAGCAGTTTCTGTTACCTCTGTCCTTTTCTCTAGATTTCCAAATATACCTTCAGTGGAGCAGGCTCTACTTCCTCATTGCTATCACATAAGGATTTGTATTAGTAAAAAAATATTTTCTAAAGGACTCTTTTCTTCCCACACAGTGTTTACGCATCAGACACAGACTATTTCATTCTAACAAATTTATTTTCTCGATCAGCTCTTACGGAATCACTACTCAAATTAAATTACAATCAAATTATCACATCAAAAGATACCCTTATTACCTAACAACTGTCCATATTTTCATTTCATTTTGATTTGTGCTCGTCTGAAAAAAACACGTAATACAAGATCTGGGGAAAAATAAATTACCGTTTTGCAGCAGTTCATAAGTATTCTGAATAAAATATTAAAAGAAGTCATTTAATGAAAATATAAAGCAAATATTTTTAGATCAACAACGGATCTAACAATTCTATATTGCCGTCTTTTGAAAAGTCTGTTTATTAAAACCTACCAAAAACACTGCTTGGAAATGGCAGTATTATATAATCACATCCACAGCACCCATTCAATCAAAGTTGGCAACGGATTGAGGAGAGAAGTTCAGAGAAGTGCAGCGGCAGGTGCTCAGTCTTTCTAAATCCCTTTATCTGAGTCAGTCCAGAAATAAAAAATAAAAAATATTAATAAAAAAAATATCAGCGGTGGAATTTTTAGGCATCATCCACCCCGAGCGGCAGCCGTCAAAACCAGGGTTTGGTGGCCGAGACTCACTCGGCGGCCTCGCTGGCTGTCCCCTCGCTTCGCGCCTCATCCGAGCCCGCCCGGTCCTCGGACTTGGCCCGGTGGATGCTCTTTTCTCCCTCCCGTATCCCTCTGCTCTTTTAGGGAAGATTTTATTTCCAAGGTTACTTTGAAGATACTTCTTTTTCTTTTGGCTTTGCTATTCAGTCTGTTAATTTCAGAAGCTGTGATTATTGTTTTCTGGAGACTTTTATTCCCCTCCTTCCCATTTCAGAGTCGATTTCTGCTTGTCCCCAAATGACTTTAATATGGACACGAAAAACAGGGTCCTGGAGCACAGCGATTCGTCCCCTGATCAAACCAGGTGCCTCTGCTTTCTTTCCAGGCCGCTCCCAGGAAAGAAAGTTTCCGTGAATCACTATAGACAGCCCTTTGGAGGGAGGGAGTGAAAAGGAGGAGGACTTTTTTTTTTTTTTTGAGAGGAGAGGACGAGCCAGGTGCTGTCCACCACTGCCGTATAGGGCATCTCAAGGTGGAAAACACCTCAGGATTGCAGTTTTGGTGCCTTACGTATCTTCACCTTTCTTCAAACCCAAAACCAAAAAAGAAACACCACCACAGTATAAAAAAAGATCTCATGATCGCCCCCTTTTTCTCTTCCGTTTTTCTTTTTTTTGTTGGTTGTTGTATATATGTAAAACAGGTCGGATATTTATTATGCTTTTATTAATTTTTGTCCCCTCCCCTTCCTTGGATTGCAAAAGAAAAGAAAAGAAAAGAAAAGTCTCCTTGGTCTGTCTCTCTCTTCCTTTTTTCCTCCAAGGGTAGGCCTGCCTGTCTTTGGGCGGAGGGGAGGCGGTCTGGGACCCCGACACGGTGGCAGCCCCGATCAGTGGTCGGTGCGGCGGCGGCGGCGGCGGCAGAGGCGGTGGCGGTGCTGACCGCAGCTGCGGAGGCGTTGGCGGCGGCGTTGGCGGCGGCGGCGGCGACCCTCGTTCTCTCTAAGCCCCTCGCCTTCACTGAACGCTCGTCTGTAGCCCATGGTGCGGCGGCGGAGTGTCGGCGCTCACGGTGCCGACCTGCGAGTAGACATCGTCGGGCGTCTGCTGTTGGATCCCCGGTGGTGTCATGCGCTTCTCCTTTTGGCGTCGGTTGCAGAACCAGACCCGCACCACCTCTTTCTCGAGCTGCAGGCTGTCGGCTAGGTTGGTGATCTCCTGCGCCGAGGGTTTGGGGCACTTGAGGAAATGGCTCTCGAGCGCGCCCTTGACGCTCACCTCGATGGAGGTCCGCTTCTTCCGCTTGCGGCCCTGCGCTGCAATCTTGTCGATGCTCGTGGGGCTGCCAGTGCTCGAGTCCGCCTCCTCCAGCCACTTGTTCAGCAGCGGCTTGAGCTTGCACATGTTCTTGAAGCTCAGCTGCAGGGCCTCGAAGCGGCAGATGGTGGTCTGCGAGAACACGTTGCCGTACAGCGTGCCCAGAGCCAGCCCCACGTCGGCCTGCGTGAACCCCAGCTTAATGCGCCGCTGCTTGAACTGTTTGGCGAACTGCTCCAGATCGTCCGAGGTTGGCGTGTCCTCGTCCGAGTGCGGGTCGTGGCTGTTGAGTCCGGGCCCGGCCCCACCGCCGCCGCCATGGTGCGGGGGCCCCTGCGCGTGGTGCGGGTGCGGCGGGTGCGGGTGCGCGTGGTGGTGGTGGTGATGATGATGCTCGGCCAGCTCGGGCGTGTCCCCACGCACCAGCCCGGGATGCACGAGGCTCTGGCCACCGCCGCCGGCGCCACCGCCGCCTCCGGGCCCCGGGGGTGCGCTCAGCATGCCGTTCACCGTGAAGCCCCCGGGCTGAGAGTAGAGCAGACTCTGCGGTGGCGGCTGCTGGCCGCCGGCCATAGACGGGAGGTGC